TAACTTATTGTCTGATTGTTAACAGGGAAAGTACAAATCGAGATTTCTAATACATATTGATATACTTCGATTGCACAGTTTCTCAACGGTGTACATTTATGTAACAAAATATCTCGATTCATTTCAACAACTGCATTGGACACGAAAATTGATAACTTTTACATTTCTTTATACTATGTATGCACGCTTTAAGCTTCATAAAAATATGATATAACTTTTCAACAAGGATGCAAAGTCATATATGTATATATATGTCGCACCAAATATTTCTAATAAACTATTATCAAGAAACTGATTTTAAATTCTTATTCAATTTTTGTCGCTCGAAATGCGATCATCATTATATATAGTAAGATAAATGCTAAAATAATTAAATATTCTTTAACTCTTAACTGTGTTGTAACACGAGAATATTTACTATCATATAATACTACGGAATCAGAAAAGTAATAAGTATATAAAGAAAATAAATGAAAGGATATACTTCAGTCATCAAATCATCAGTCAACATTAATATGTAAGTTTTTGAAATAATAAATTTTATTAGAAAATCTATAAATTTTTTTTAACTGTAAATTAGTATATTATATGAAATGATAATGAAATAATATAAAATAATAATATAATAATTTTTATGAAAATAATAGCAGGATGACATAAAGAATAATATTCAAGATCGAATAAAATTAGTAGACTCGATTCTAATAAATCTAGTATATTTATACTTTTTATCTTATTTATAATCGTCTGTTGTTTAATAATAGAAATTGAAAAAAATGATGAAAGTAAAAAATTTACAAAAAGATAGTCTCTTAAAATGAAAATTTCATTATGGCAGTTAAGAATTAAAGGTAACCATATTATTATAATTGTGTATTCTAAAAAATACTAATATTTTCTAACTATTCTGGACTTACTTGAAAAACAAAAATTGGTAGTAAAAATGTAATCTTCAATATGTTCGATTTTTTTTAAAGAAAATTTGAAATAGCAATCTAATTATTTATTTAATAAGTTTCAAATTTAATCATTGTTTGAAAACTTCTCTTTCCATGAACATATGTATAATTCATATTTGAGAAACACATATCATCATATTTTAATAATTTCTTTCTAATTATTAATCATAATTGATAATTAACTGATTCATTAACAACAAGGATAACAGCTCTTGCTTTTTCATCAAAAAATACATATTTACTACCAATCTTTCTGATGCAGTCTGTAGATTTCTTAACATTTTAACTAAAGGATATCTTTACAGTTGTAGCTAATTTTTTGCTAACAATGATTAAAAATGTGCAAATTTCATTGATATATTATGTGATACGAAATATGATATTTAATTAACAATACATCACATCTCATAATAAACGATTAAATAACTTATCTTTCAAACTTGATGCGAATGCTATATTTATATTATTTTTTTATATTAATATTTACTCAACCGTAATATATTTCGTATTATTACATAAATAGAATTTTCCATAAAAAAAAGAAAAAAAGTTTTAAATTAATTAAAAAAATAAAAAAATTATATTTCTTGAATTATATAAAAAACGCGAATTGTTGTTCTTCTCCTTGATAATTTTTATATATTTTGTCATTTTTCGCTCAATAAACAGGTCTTGTATACAAAATTTTTAAATTGCTTTACTTTAAACAAAATAAAATGTATGTTATGTAATAGAGAGCGTGTTTATTTATGTATATATTAAAACACGCCTGATTGCCATTATTATCATTCTATTTTCTGTTTATTCGATAGAATTATATAAAATGTGATCGGTTGAAAAACATGCATAAACATATTTTATTTAAAGCTAAGAAAAAATCTTGGCTGAAAAAATATTGAAACTTATGGTGCATATATTTTTTGCTGTATCATTAATCCTAATCGGTATTTGTGGATTCAATAAACCCGAACATTTTCAACTACATTGTGAAAAATTGTTTATAAAAAATATTTTTCACAATCTTAAATAAGTTTACATAATCTTATTTCTCGGATTTTGACCTTTATAAAATGAAAAAAAAATTGTTTAATTACGTTAATTTTAAATAAAGATATACTAATTTTAAATACACTGGACCGCAAATATCAGTTAAGGAAATAATTTTAAATTAACTAATTAATTAAGATTAAAATATCATAATAAATTTAATAACTGAAAATATAACTACACACCAAAATGTTCATGTTTTTTTACATTTTTTTTTAATTTTTGAAGCTCAAATAAGTAGCAGACAAAATGGCCAATGTGCACTAACTTTACGCACATTCACTAGATGTTGGCCTATATTCATATCAAATATGGATAATTATGCATGTCATATGTGTATGTGTAATATTTGCTAATTTTGAAGTACATTGACTATGTCATATGAAGCCATCTTAATGATACGGAGATTGCATTAATGAAAATAAGGAATGGTAAAACATAGTCATGTGTAGGAATGTAGACTTACGAAGGAGTACGCGATATTAAAAAATATTATCCCAATCCATGATCTTCGAAGAATCCCTGGGGAGTTTCCTCCTGCAACACACATACAAAAACACAAGTTTATTGATATCGTATTCGAAATGTCTTATAATAATATGAACAGGGATCAATTACTTTGACGCTGCACTTTATAAATACATTACGAAAAATAGAATGAAAATATATACATACACACATATATATATATATATATATAAACGTACACGTACCTACTTCACAATAAAAATCCCTTCTTGATGCAGCTTCAAATGGTGAACTGAACCCTTTTCATATAACTGAGTAACTTTTACTTTGGATACACAAAGCGCATGTTCATATATTGCCTTAATTGAAATCTTAAGCGCTAATAAAAATTGCTTGTTATACATGCAATCGAATTGTAAAGATTCCATTCTCCAAATGGGATCATAGTGAATGCGATATTCAACTCAATATGCTCACACTGCACGATAGCTTATGTTAAAAAATATCCAGCTAACATATTATTTCGTTACGAATCTATTATATTATTTATTAAGAAATTAATAATTTATTAATAATCAGTTTATTAATAATCAATTAATTATCAGTAAAAATTTGAGATGTGTCATTTTCTGAGACTAATGTAAATTATATAATGTAGATTAAAAGGTATTATGCACGCTAATTTTCAATTACAATATAAAGATTTTGTACGATATATTTATTGCTAGTACACTTAATGTATAATAACACTAAGAGAATTGACGTTTATATAATTGATGTTTATATAATATGCATATGTACATATATAATATATAAAGAGTACAAAGAGATATATTTCCAATTATTCATATAATTAAGATAGATTTCTCTTTTTTTAAGTAAATATATAGATGCGTAAGAATATACGTTCTATGCAATAGTTACATTAATACTGACGCTCTTCAATAATACATATACATTTTCATAAAAATAACTTACAAATACAGACAATTTTATTGCCATAGTTGAACATTAAAGTACGTAGAGGAGGGTAACTATATATATCACTTACTCGTTAATAGGTTAAAATTTAAGAATCGTAATTCAGCCTTTGGTTAGTAACATAATAATTTGTTCTATGTGCAAGAGTAATTTTTCTTGATATAAAAATATATTAACATACACAGAGAATGCTCCAGGCATCGTATACTTTCTCTCAATTACAATTACTAAGAATTGATATTAAAAAAGACAGAGAAAGAATATTTTCTTATTTATTTCATTTGTTCCAATTTCGAATCATAAACTAATAATCGATTTTTCGCGAATACTTTTCAAATTTTTTATACTCTTCGAATATATAAGAAAATATTATATTTTCTTTAATTTAATGAACAAATGATACTTTTTAACAGAATTTTAAATGTCAATCATATTTTTTATTTAAAAATTTTTAAAATAAGAAAAAAATATTTTTGATCAATTTATCTTCGATTAAGTTTTCGTTGGAGAAAGAAAATGCACGATGTCTTAAACGTCTCGTATATGACTAGTAAGTTGACTTGAGAATCTATATGTATATTTATATAGTAGAGTCGTAATGGCATCATGCAGCGGGTAAGCCTTTTCTTGTTTTTCGGTCGATCGTGTTGGTCGATACTCTGTCCATGAAGCTCATGCAAACAATAGGGTACCTATAAAAGCCCTATCTCCCGCAGAGCACCTTCCACAGCTTCGTCCTTCCACAACAAACAAAGAAAAACTAACTAGTCTTCGCTAAACTTCTACTTTGTCCCTATTTACCATGGACTTAACATACATATCACACTAACATATCATCAACATTAAAAAAATATTATATCAAATCCCTATTAAAAAGTTCCATAGTATTCTTTTTAAACCATATCAAAATTATTTTACAATATTTTAACTTCAAGAGTGTTATTATAAACGTAAAATATTATAATAAAAAAATATTCTGTTAATAACAAATCTATTGTCATTTTCGTGTTTTGTTTAGAAAAAATTATATATACAAAATAATTTTTCTCAACAAACACAATAAATCGCTAATTATCAATTAAATTCAATCCAATTACAATAATTTTAAATTTTATAACCTTTACTTGTAATATTTTTCCTAAGAATATTTAAAAAAATATTTTAATTAATTAATATGTTACATTAAATTTAAAATGCCTTATCCTGTGTAAAATAGATGATAATGTTATTAAAACTCTGTAAAATTCTTTGGAATTTTCCATGAAAAGTAAAACTAAGTGATACATTATTTAGAAAACAAAATATATGAGACAAAATGTTGCAAAATATAAATACAATTGTTGAAAAATATTTATTAAAGATTTTGAAGGCATACATATACACATATTTATAAACGGCAACATATACGTAATAATACACTTCTCATTTATACTAGTTCTAGTGCTGCTTTACTATCATATTCTATGAAATAACTGATTAATCTAATCTGAATACAAATTTATAATATATTAATATGGCAATAATATCGTTAAACATTTTTTTACACCTTTATTAAAAATAATACAAGTGCATTGGTGCCATGCTTTCGTATAAACATATAGTTATATGGCAGTTAATAGCAATTTGCGGATTAGCTCACTTGATTTAACTGCTCGATTTCTGATGATAGCCATCATGCCCAGCAATTTTTCTCTTTACTTCACATCTTTCATGCTTTCTGCATCCACGTTTCTACATACACAACGACTATCGTCGACACCTGAGCAAGCTGGTCTCAAGCAAATCCGCAATGTAATCATTAGTAACGTTTCTTTGTTCTCGATTTTAGAATATTTCATCATTCTGTTAACATCACATGCACCTGATTTATTAAAATCAATATATACATAAATCAACTCGAATGCAATTTTAAGATATTGAAAATAATTTGCGATACGATAAATTATGCATTTTATGGGATTTCTTTAGCAACTTTTATTTTTTATCCCATCTGCATAAAGTGTGTTACGAAGACTAATATAAAATAATTATATGTTGTGTTCAGATTATGCCTGATTTTTAAAATAAATATTTATATGTTAATATTTGTAAAAATATAATATTCATAAATATAATACTTTTATTTAACTGATATTTCCTAATTGTATTTATTATTTAAATTTAAGTTTTACATTTTAAAAGACTAATAATTAATAATGCTTTTTATTATAATCATTACATTAATCATTAATAAAAATGTTTTTAAAAATATAAGATGAAAGAACATCTTAGTAATGTCAATCAAATTTTTGAAATGTAATATTAAAGCTCAAATATATATATATATATATAAGTTTTACATT